AGCAGCTCTAAAAAATGGATACACATGAATATTATATCAATTTTTTACTCTAAATTTCGCAAGGGCTTTAAGCCGCTTTTCACTCTCATTCCCTACATGAGTCAGGAAAACAGGGGGCTCATATGCTTGCAAATATCACATGCAGACTGTACCACGATTTTACCGATTCTGCTGCATTTTGTCGTTCCCATAAGAAACCGCTGGCTCAGCCTATGAAAACAGAAGCCATATGCCAACATTGGGCCAATATTACATCTGTGCTCACAACCGTCGGCCGTTGCGTCGGCTCCAAATATGTGCAGCGACGACACCCGCTGGGCCTTATTGCCTGAGCCCCGGGCGAACTACCTTGCTCCGCGTCCAACATTTGGACAGCGGACAATTGTGTCCGAATAGTGTGTGACGGACTGCTGTGCTATTGACAGTCTGTGTGACAGCTGCTGCACCAGCTGACAGCTGCCGTAATATGTGACTTCTGCTGCCAGCTGACAGTTTTCCTGATTGACAAGAAGTACCGCGGTGTGTGAATGCTGCTAGCTGACAGTTTCTGCGATTTGTCACTGCTGCTGTCATCTGACAGTTGTGTGCCACTGTTGTCAACTGACAGCTAGCTGCCTTGATATGTGACAGCTGTCGAGTGTCAACTGAGAGCTGCCGTGGTCTATCCTTGCCACTGCCAGCTGGCAGTGGCCACGGTGTGTATGTAACTTCTGTCATCTGACAGTTACCGCGGCTTAGACTGCTGTCAGCTGACAGTTATTGTTGTGTCTGATTGCAGCCTCTGCTACCGACATCCTCGGCCTGGAGGGTCACGAGGCCAGTCTGCCCTGCGACACGGTCCCCCCGCCGGATGATACCACTCTGATCGTACTCTGGTACAGAGACGGATCCGACGCGCCCGTCTACAGGTACGTTAACACGCCCCTCTGATCGTACTCTGGTACAGAGACGGATCCGACGCGCCCGTCTACAGGTACGGTAACGCAACACTCGGATCGTACTCTGGTACAGAGACGGATCCGACGCGCCCGTCTACAGGTACGGTAACGCGGCTGGTTGTCCCAGTCTAAAGGAAACGTGTCCGGACGTCTCTGTTTATAGGTAACATATCCCGAAGTCCCACTCTTACGCTAACTTGTATCCCGTGTTCAGACCTCAAGTAGCGTCCATTGCTGTCCAGTGTCGTCCAGTCTTTTAGGAGTCTAGGACTCCTAAAGAATCGTTAAGATAATCTATGGTTTAGGTGCAAAATCCCTCCGGTGCACATTTGAATGAATGTTGTAGGCACAGATCTCGATTCAGCGGTGGTGTCAATTTTAGTTTCATTCGCTGCCGCTAGATGACCAGTATGGTCGCCGCCTGAAGAGCTGCACTGTGCCGCATGGTTCGGGCAGCAGATGCAGTGGAAACGGACTGGGACAGTTATGGTATGGAAATAAGATGGTGCTTAGGATGCTGCAGCCCTGCGTTAGACCAAAGACCGGAACGCATACCGGTATAAAAAGTATATGATTAGACCTAACTCAGGACACGACTTCATTATCGATTGTGAATAGCCACACACATAAAAATATTAACACCGTTAGCGGTGTAATTGCACAGTACATATCTGAGCACTTGAGGAAAGTTAATTTAGTCCCTTCCCCGCTTAAATTACTCGCGCTTCTAAATGAACACCAGGAAGAAGGTAATAGAACACTGTTAGGAGGGTTGGGTGTTTTGCTACATTTAGTAAAACACCCAACCCTCCTAACAGTGTTCTATTACCTTCTTCCTGGTGTTCATTTAGAAGCGCGAGTAATTTAAGCGGGAAAGGGACTAAATTAACTTTCCTCAAGTGCTCAGATATGTACTGTGCAATTACACCGCTAACGGTGTCAATATTTTTCTGTGTGCAGCTTTCGACCGCCGTGTGTTGCTCGTCGCTAGTGACTCGTCGCTTATGGTCGTTCTTCAGTAGTTTTGATTTCTGACCGACTGACACCAACACTGAAGCATATGCTGAGTGAAATGAGGCTGGCGTGAAAGTTGTTGATAACGCAAGCCCCTTGTTGCTGCTCTGCGCACTATCTAGTAGACACTAGACAGTGGGATAGGACCGCTTAGGCTTTACGTCCAGCTATAAACCGGCTCCTTAGGTTCATCCGACTCAGGGAGTACGCTGCATAGAGGCTCCATTTCGCAAACGATCCCAGTGATTCTGGCTTTAACGAGAGCAGCTCCGGTCCAAAGAGCCAAACTTGATCCATTCACTGCGCGAGCGATGAAAAGCTTGGAAGTGATCAGCACCGTGCCGAAAAATAAATCCGACGATCGGCGACAAAGGTAAACAAATGTCCGACACTTGGCACTGAAAGGCGCGGCTATCGACGGACGCAGAGAGCGGCGGTAAGTTTTCCTCGTGAAGTTGGCTGACACGGCGGGAGATTTGGGGTCTGCCGACTGCCAAATTCATTTTAAATGTCATGTCAGTCGTCAGCTGGCGAAATCAGGGAAGATATTTATTGCACGATAAGTCTAAAATAGCTCCCCAAAAACCAATGCAGAAGAGTGTGTTCGTTGTATCTTTTTGCTGTGACCTTCATTGTTTCTAAGGACATTGGCTAGAGCGGTAAGACGATTAGATTTGCAAGTGCAGTATGTTTTTGTCATTTAAATAGTACAGGAAGCAGCTCTTCGGCCTCTTGCTAATGACATTTGGTCATTAGCCACAATTATTGTCACGTTTTGTCAGACTTGCGTCTGGGTTTTTTTATCGTAGTTATCGTGAAAAGCGATAACTGTTTTAGTGGAATTGTGATAATGGTTTGCTATTTATTGAAGCTTTGTTGCTCTGCAAAGAACGTCCTTTAATTTTCAACAACATGCATGCAAGGAAACTGCATGCGCCAAAAATACCAGAACACAGTGGCGTGATTCCAAGCTATCGGACCCGCTATTGTTTGGAAATAGTGTCTCCTCTATACGGTGGGATAAATTCACGCCTCCCCGTAAATCAAGTGAATTGACATCATCCTGTTACTGGGCGGCTCACCTCTGCAGAAGCACTAGAGGGACGCGCATTAGTGGGTAATGCGTTGCCGCGATGTGCGCCGGCACTTTCAGCCGTCATTAAACCGCGGACGGGTGTTCTGGCTGCCGTTCCCCTGGGAAGACGCGATAATAGCAGTCGTTAGGCGGCGTCACTCTGTGGGGCAGTTTATCCGGACCGTCCCGGAGCTTATCCGGACCGACCCGGAGCTTATCCGGACCGTCCCGGAGCCGCGGCCGGACGCATTACACATTCCGCCTGAATACGTCGACAGCCGCCGCGGTAACAGTGTCTGCATTACCGTCACACTGCACGGCAAACTGCAGTGTATGCCTGCTGAGAGACGCATTCGCGCGGCTAATCACAAGGTGCTCCTGTGCTCCGCGTACCTGTGCTAATGGCGGCGGGGTATTAGCGGACAGACGAAACCATTTCTCGTCTGCTAGAAATGCAGTAGCATTTACTGTCGCCCCCCCAAAAAAAACACACACACACACAAAAGAAAAAGAAGAAGAATATAGCAGACATTCTGCCGGTGCTCTCTTAAATGATATTGCCCATTTACAAATTAGAATTTTAATTTGACGATAACTTGTAAGTACTTCGAATTTCCGCCTTACAAAGAAATGTTTAAAAAAATTGATTAAATCCGTTCTTGGATTAATTATGTGAGGCTTCATACTCGCACTTGCATGGGTCGTACTTTTCACGTTTTTTTCTCTCTCTTCAAGATATTTCACGAACAACTCGGTAAAATCGCGGATGAGGGTCACAGAAATACGTTTTTTTTCGCGAAGCTCCATCTCGATCAGGGGACGAGCGGGGTGCGATCGACCCCCCCTGTATATTAGCGGCTATGAAAACCAGTGCGGACCTGGGTTGTAACTGATTTTCTTTTAACGAAATATTGATGCCAAATTTTATGCCCACATTTTCTTTTCACGCTGTTTTTCATTTATTTCGGCTTCTTCTTAGGTCAGCCTGTCTACGAACTGTCATATTCGAAACACGCTCCAGTGACATTTTAAAGTTTATTTCGAGCTATAAACGCTCGCTCTAACCGCCCAATTTCCACCGTCGATTTTCTCCCTTTGGCCTTTTTGTGGCAGCGCCGCCGTGGCTGTCGAGCGCAGCATCGTCCGTCGTCGGAGGTCAGTCGGGGCCGGCGCCGGAGACCGGTCTCGGCCGGGGCTCCGCGGACCCTGATAGTCGCGGAGGCCCTCGCCGCCGGCCGTGCTCGCTCGGTCAACTTGATCGAGAGGGAGGACACTTGGTCGATGTCGATAGCTAATAGCAATCTGTCTTCTGAACCTTTATCTCTGGGCGAATTCGACGGGAATGTCTCCTAAGTCATATTTTCATTTTGCCTAGCTACGCTTCAATGGAAATATTCATGCGCCCTTTGGTGAGACGTAACGTAAACTCCTAACATAAATAATACATGTATTATCAATCCAATTTTATTTGATAACTCCGACTAGCTAACAGGAGAGCTCGCCATTCCGTTCTGCTAATGGCGCTGAGGATGACAGCAACATGTGCTGAAACAACTGCGGACCTGTCCCTCCTCTAACGGCCGCGACCCGTGGGATGGCCCGTTCCATGTTAGAGTGGCCGTGGCGACCATCGATGGGCAAACTTGGCTCGTAACGGCCATGTCATTGGCTATATCGGGCGGGCCGAGGAGCCGCACTCTAGTCGCTCGCGCCACCAGCCCCCGGGGACCGTTTGTCTCGCGTCTAATTTTGCGCAGAGAGACAAAATTAATGGCAGCTTCCCAAGGAGCCACCGAGAGAAACCAAATAACCTTTTAGCGTGTTATTGTGCTGGTGTTGTCACCCGTAACTTGGGGTTATTAAAACGTGTCGCAGAGCATCAACATGAAATGGATGAAAATCGTAATTTTTGGCTAGATAGCGCCTTTCTGCGGAACCGTCATTACTGAATTCCGGATGCAGTTATTTACCCAATGCCCAAGCAGCTGTTCAAGTATTTACGTATGCCACAGAGGTTCCGGGATCGGTTTTACCTCCTCACACGGTTTTCTACTAATTTCTCTGGTCAGCGGTGATCCGACCCCAGGACCGGGGAGTGCTCAGTGCTCACCAGCTATATTTATCTTGGCTGGAGGAACTCTGACGAAGACTAGGCTGGAGTGCCTACTATCGATCACCGAACCTTCACTAATGCGAAAAAGCACTCAGCAAAAATGCGGTGTGGATGGAGCACTTAAGATTCGTTAGTGTCGTCAATTAGATTCAGTGTATCTTCGTGCAGTAGAAATGCAAGAAGTGTGCATTTAGAAGCATCTGGATTTTGCAGATTTTCTTTCTCAGAACCTTATGCATATAAACATATCCTACCAAATACGTATTTGTCGAAAATCCTTTTGTATCTACCATGCAAATAGTGCAATTTGTAATTTACAAAAACTTGATATATTAAATGTAATTTAGAATGTAACTGTGAATATATAATGTTGCAAAGAATACAAAAAAGGTATAATTTGTTTGTCATTGGCAAACTATATCGAACAGACAGCACAGCCGATTATAAGAATATGCCAAGGAGATCACAATAAGTTGTAAGTCATAAGTCTCTGGAAATTTTTGAATATGATCAATAAGATGACCAATAGGCAATAGATTCCTTAATTTTTCATTGCGCTAGGTGGCTATTTGATCGGCTTTCCTTCAATCTATAGAATAGGTGCTTTGTGCAATACTAACGGAACGCATGTGAGCAAGCTCAACATGTTTTTCCTTTTTTTTCTTCTATTTGGATGCACCAAAAAATAACGGGCTTCTGTCAGCCCTTGAATTGACTATCTTCCTCTAGCCTGTGCAGTGAAACGCTTCTGCCTAATCTCTTCAGAACTGAGAAGTGAGAGGCAGTTAGTAGAGCGATTTCAACGCTGGGCTTGGCGATAACGCGAGCCGAAATGATACGTTGCTTACAAAAAGTGTGATCTAAAGGCCTAATTTACCACAAACAACCTGAATATGAAACCTCATTAAATTTCCTCACATGTCTGTGTTCACGTCTTCATTCTGTTTCAGTTACGATTTTCGGAATCGGGATGAGTCAAACCGACGGTGGCACAACACGTCCGTGTTCGGCTCTCGGGTGGACTTTGTGCCCGGCCGGCGGCCCGCCGTGCTCACCCTGAGGGACCTCGGTCCCGCCGACCAGGCCATCTACAAGTGCAGGGTCGACTTCCAGCACTCGCGCACCCGGAACGCCCTGGTCAACCTGACCGTTATCAGTGAGTGAGCTGACGAAATTACATGGTGCTACTGCTCATCTGCTCCTTATTCTCACTCACTCTTATCTCACCTTTTCTTCACCTCCTCCTCCTCCTCCTCTTACCCTCTCTCTCTCTCTCTCTTTCTCTCTATCTCTCTCTCTCTCTCTCTCTCTCTCTCTCTCTCTCTCTCTCTCTCTCTCTCTCTCTCTCTCTCTCTCTCTCTCTCTCTCTCTCTCTCTCTCTCTCTCTCTCTCTCTCTCTCTCTCTTTCTCCCTCTCTTTTTTCCTTCTTTCTTTCTTTCTTCCTTTCTCTTTTCTTTTTTTCTTTTCTTTCTTCTCTTCAGCAGGTGCTCTCCGCTCACCAACTATAAATGTCAATGGACAGTAGCCTTTCATCAGCAATCCTTTGACGACCCTTCGCTCAAAGCGTCACAAGTGGCTGTCCCCTGGTTTGACGCAAACGTAATCCGGTGTAATCCCAGACACAGTCCCAGGTGTGCTTAGCTGTCATTAGCGACAAGTTCAAGTATGTACTTACGTGCAATGTCCTTCAGAAGCACTCGGTAGTTCCCGGCTAGTTTCCTAACACCTACTTTCATTAAAACGTTTTGTTAAAACTGTTATGTTTGATGAGGCCGAGACCGTTTCTCTTTTTTTCCGAAAGCCTGAAGCATCAAGCTCGTGATTAGTTATCACAACTCATTAAGGATATTTGAACTGTAGCAAAATTCATCACCACTTTGCAAGGGATATATGCAGTGGTCTTCGAGCGCAGTTTATGATGAAAGCTGTGCGTTTTAGCGCTTGGCCACAGACGCTGTCCCAGCCTGAGCGTTTATTTATGCGTAATTAGCCAGATATTCTTCGGTGTCAAATCACTGGCGACCTGCAGTGAGATGTGTCAGGACTTCAATTCGCTCTGCACATTGGATTTTTCTCAGCCGTACCTGTACCTGGGCTCAGGTATGGACATGGTGTCCGCTTTTCCCGCAGGGACGTGGTTGATCTGCGCATGATGCACCGTGGACAACATTGGCCTTGCTTACATACACTTCATCACCAGTTTAGATGGGATAAAAGCAATAAATCAAGTGATGGGAGGACGTCAAACTCTTCGAAGTGGTAGTTCTCGCTCGTAAAGCATGTGAGCGTGAAGGCGTCTTATCTCATGAGTCAGTTTCATGCTTACAACCGGTTTTTAACAGCTCTCCTCTTTCGCGTCATGTCATAATTCCATTAGTTTCCTTTTCTATATAGCTATGTTTTCCATTTATAAGTACGCGTACTTATTATGTCCATTGGACTTTGGATGCTACTGAACGGAAATGCGAACGGAGAAGCTCTACCTCACGTCACTCACTCTCTTTTGCAGCGGCTCCCGAGTATGTGCGGATCGTGAACCCTCGGGGACGCATTCTTCACACGGTGGCCGGTCCGTTCAGCGAGGGAGATCGTCTGGAGCTGATCTGCCGCGTCAAGGGAGGTAAGTACAGCCTCCACTTGCCGCGTCACGAAGGGAGATAAGTGAATCCCACTTGCAGCGCCAAGTGACATAAGTGGCCTCCGACCTACCTCGCCAAGGGAGGTAATCGACCTGCGATCTGTCTCGTCAAGGGAGGCGAGTGACATCCAGTCTGCTGCGGTAATTAAGGGAAAAAGGCGGACTCAGATCCATGGCGTCAATGGAGGCAGTGCAAAAGAAAAGTAGCCCACTTGGGTCACCTGGAAGGTGGAAGGTGAATGGCGACCTTATTGTCCCCCTCCCCCCTCCCACCATGTCAGATACTCCAGCAGTATGGATTCTTTCCACAGCAGTGCAACAGCGTCTGTGATAGTTTTCGGTTCGATGTTCGGTTATTCCTGGACCTGAAAGTCCAGGAAATCTGGTCCCCGGTTGACCTGGAATTACCTACAGTGACCTCTCAATTATCATGCCATTCTTCCATTTTCGTGTGCATCTAGTAAAGACCCACAGGCTCATTGATAACTCTTGTCCCCGGATCTCCAGTGATGGTTCTGGTCCCTCCCGCAGGCTCGCCGCGTCCGGCGGTGACCTGGAGGTCCGGTGGCGCGGTGCTACCGGTACCGTACCAGCCTCAGGGCGAGTACACGGTCAGCCAGTACAGCGTGGAGGCGCTGGACAGATCGGACCTCCACCGGATGGTCACCTGTCTGGCGTCCAACACCAACCTGACGGCGCCGGCCACCAGCTCCGTCATGATCGACATGAACTGTGAGTAGGAAACATGATCGACATGAAATTTGAGGAAAACGTTATGATCGACATGAGTTATGAGTACATTAGATCACATATTTGGGCTGTGAGGTGTGAATATAGAGGTGAGCACATAGCTACATGAACTGTGACTAGAGTGTGGGTATAGAGCGCAAGATTTTGAGCTTAGCCGAGGTATAAGAACAGTGAACACTCAATCGTTCCTGCATGATTATGCATAGGTAGCTATACTGAGTCGGTACGGTGCAAAATGAGCATTTTTCGAGCCGTCAGAACAGATGCAGTGAAGCATGTCAGCGGTGTAACAAAATGGAAAATTAAATGAAGCGAGAAAGTATTTGCTCGTAGTTTTACCAACACAGAGATGCAATCTGAGCCCAAGCAGCTGAAGTGAATTCAATAGTAGTTTCTTGTTCTGCAATTTTCTGGATGACCATGCTTGACGGATTTGGTTGATTTCTTTGTGCACCACGTAAGCAAAGATTGAGGAGGAAGCAACAATTTTGGTGTCGCGCAAAATACGCCCGGTTATATATGACAAGATATAACCGGTTTTTCCGCGACACAACGAGCGTCTTCTTTGGGGCGGCCCCGGAGCCGGGCCGGCCTCTGCGAGCAGCGTTCGGCGGCAGGCGGGCGGCCGCCTGCGCCCTCGGGCGGCAAGGCCGCTAAGGCGGCGGCCTCATCTGATTGGTGGAGCGACTTGTGTCACGTGACGGTGACGGCGCGGGGGTTGAGTGCATTTGCGCGGTCACTCTGTTCTAAGCCGCCCGGTCTGACGCAAGTCAGCAGTGTTCTCGCTCTGAAATGTTTTTGCGTTTTACTGCGGTCGTGTTCAGTGGAAGCTGGAAGACATCAAGGGGAGTATGAGTTCGGTTTTATATCAATGTTATATTGATTGACGAGGATGTTATTTCCTTTCGGGGTTTTTATGTTTATTTTTTACTGGTTTGTTGTTTCTGTCTGATTTTTTTTTTTCATTTTCGGCATGAGGTCTGGTTTTTTGTGTTTATGTTATGCTATCACGGTAAGAAGAGGGTCGATGAGCAATGGGTCGGCAAACGCCCGGTATTATAGGTTCTTTGAAGGTTAGATGAAACAACGAAACTTGGACTGCGGGTAGAAAAAGGCTTGGTGAGTTTTTCAGATTTTGGGAGATTTGGTGTAGACTGTAGGTATTTGCTAGGTGTAACATAGCTGTAACTGTTTTTTGTTTCTTCCCTGGAACGGAGCGCCGGACTTTGCCATTCTACACTCCGTGTGAGTGGAATCAGCTCATGCTTTCTCGGTGTAGCAGCTCAGAGTGCACGGCCTGGCCGGCGTAGGGTTTGGTGGCCACGTGGTGTTGGCCGGTGGTTGTGCAGAGAGTTGGTAGAATTGCCGTTTGTGGTGCCTGGTGTTGGTTGAACTGTGGTTCCCATACAGGTGAACGGTTACTGGCGTAAGGTGTGCCAGGTGGGCGTACCCCGTGGAGAATGAGCTGCTGGTGATGTTGGCTCTGTCTGAGCGTGTCCGAGCGGGGTTTTCATTAGTGGGTTAGGGATTGTTGATAACAAGGGTACCAACTACCGGGTGACACTTGAGAGGGTAAATGGAGTTCATGCTAAGGATAACCAATGCGATGGTATTGGTCTAAGTTGGTATCGTTATCTGGTGTTGATAGGTTGGAATGAAAGGTTTAGTGGGTGATACAGAGGTACAGAGGTGATACAGTGGAACCCAGTTTGGGTGTGATAAGTCTCGGTGGACTAGGATATTATGGATTAGATGGGGAATTATGTAAGATGGTTTGGGGATGCATTAGCGATAGCATAGTAAGTTACAGGCTATTACCCAGAGGAAGTTTTCACACCCATGTTTAAAGGCTGCAGTAGGTAGACATGCCATTTTCTAGGATGCAATTTTAGGGTAGCCCATGATTGTGTGGCTCTCACTCTGCATTGAGGTACGAGTTAACTGTGTTTCGTTTTTTTATGGTAGTGGCGTTTGTAAATCGTTTTTTTTTTTGCCAGAGTGAGGCGCCTTTCTTGTCGTTGGTCAATAGAGCATTGCCTAGGCATGCATAAGCGACAATCATCATAGTAATATTGGTATGCAATATGCATATCCTTCCGATATGTCATCACACGCATTGTGAGATAAATGGCCCCGGTATATATAACCCCCTTTTGATACGAGATTTCGGCTAAAAATGGTTGTGACACAATCTGTTTTTTTCTTCTTCTTCCATGGTTTGGTGGTTGGCATCCGACTCTGAACGGCGACGGATCGGCACACTCGGCGGGGCCGGCCCGCTTTGCCAGAGTCTTCTCTGGCCGCTGAAGGATTCCTTCACAGCTCCTGTGTCAGCTGAGGGAGTTCCGACCCCGCCCAGCTCATCTTGCTCCAGTGGTGCTGCCTAGCAGGTCTTACGGGACATCGTCAGGTATAGGCCAAGGTGGCCGGGGTTTTGAAAGGTACGTTATTCCATGTACGGGGCCCGGTACATATGTTAATGGAGGTTCTAGGGGACCCGATAGGGTGGATTGTGAACGCTTGGGCATGGGCGATATCGGCATTTTTGAGGGGAGGTTTGGTTCCATCAATAGGGACATGAGGGCAATGCTGGTGGAAAGTAAGATACTATGATAGTAATAAAATTGTGATAAAATCGTTAGGCGAAGCCCGAAGATAAAAAATGAATCTATAGCAACTCTAACGTTAGACGTGGTTTCAGCCTTGGTTTGCTGCTGCTGCTGAGGGTTGTTAAATCGTCTGTAACTATCTTTCAAAGCGGTCTATTTCATAGCAAATTATTTCTATACTTGTCGCTATAAAATATGAGATGACCTTCTCCTGCAAAACAGCGAATGAACATTGAACAATACAGGTCAGGTACTATCATTAATAGTTAAAATGAAGGAAGTCAGTATCGTTGTTATAGGACTGGGAGTTCCCCTCAGTGTCCCAAAATTGTATTTTGGCTTGGGTGGTCAAAGGAAAATTCCTAGGGGGCCGGGAACAATTTTCAAGGTGGGGGGGGGGGGGTGGGGGAGGGGGGGTGAGCATATAAAATACCTGACATGATGCATATGAAACGGTGGCGTAGCTAGGGGTCTAAGGGGACACGTAACCCACCTCCCCATTGGGTTCAAGGGAGCCTCGCTCGGGTCCGAGGGGCCCTGCGGCGCCATTTGACCACTGGGGGTTAACAATGGCCATATAGAAGGGCCCCATGGGGCTCGTTAGAGCTCCTCATGGACCCTACTTGCCACACTAAGATCTCTTTAAGGGCCCCACGCCGGATTCTGAGGGCCTCCTAGGCCTTTATAAGGGCCCCTCAGTGGTCTCCAAAGGCCCGTTACTAGCCTCTGAAAGTTCTTACCGGCCTATGAGGGCCCAGTTCTAGGGGCATTTCCCGCCTGTGATGGTCCCACAATTATTTTTCTGATGGCCCTATAACGGCAACGGTGGGGGCCCTAGTCGGCGCCTATGAGGGCCCACACCGGTGTCTCTGTGGGTTTCACATCCCCAACTCTGAGTGCCTACACTAGTGCCTATTAATGCCCTATATCGGCGACTCTGAGAGCGAGGACCCGAATCCCTACCCTACACCGGCGCATCTAAAGGCCACCCACTGATGACTTCTGAGGGCCCCACACCGGTCCGGTGACTCTCAGGGCCCCACCGGCGTATGATAGTACCATGCCGGTCTCTAAGGACCCCACAGAACTTCTTCTGCTGGCCTAAGGGCCTCTTGCCGGTCACTGAGAGCCCCCCGCCGGCTTGTAGAGGGTTCGCGTCAGCAGCTCAGGCCCCACACACGTCTGTAACAGCTCCACACCAGCGTCTATGAGGGCCCACAGCAACGCCTGTAGGACCCTCACCGGCGCCTCTGAGAGAATCATACTGGCACCTCTGAGCGCCCACACCGGCACCTGCATGACATTCCCACACCAGTGCCTCTAAAGGCCCCTTACCGGCGGCTCTGAGGGCCCTGCGCCGGTGATTCTGAGGATGCTAACGATAACCGAAGACACCATACAAGCCCTTAGTGTCGCTGAGCTTTTAATCCCATGCCGGCCTTCCAAGGACGCCACGTAAGTGCACTCATTGCCCCACACCCCTCCCTTACACCCGGAGTGGGTAACCTGTGTTATACCTGTAGCAACGATTTTACCACCATTGTACGTTAGGTATTTCTCAAGGTTGACTCAAAAGGGTCCAGTATAAAAGCTGGCCTGCCAAACTTATGGCCAAGGCCAGGCCCAAACAAAAGTGGGATGACAACGGCAGATGTCAAATCGATACTGTAACAGCAGAAACCATTCAGATGGCAAGGAAAATGCCGTGTGTTGATGTTTAGGTGTATAAAGGAAACAAGAGGAAGTCCGGAAAAGGGAGGAAAAATCCTTTCTCGCTGCCTCAATGTTGAGGGGGCGCCGTCCCCTCGGCTCTCAGGTGGGGGGGGGGCAAGCGCCCCCGCTGCCCACCTGTTTCCCGGGTCTATGAAAATTACTCACCAAATAAGGGATAAGGGTGGAAAATTGATGGTCAGATAAGGCCTAAAGAGTGGAAAAAGAATGTACAGCAAAATTTAATACAAGGCTGGTATGTGGGAAGTAAAATGGCTATCGATCCATGCAAATGCTTTTTGTTGGTAAAGTTGGGAGTGGAAAATGGGCTATTAAAAAATGGAGGCGAGTGAAAAATGATTTTCATTTGGATGTCGTTTCCCACCTAAATCAACAAAGTTTGGGGCACTGGTACCCCTTGCCAGCATCAGAGTTGACGTCACTCAGGACCTGCCTATGGTGGTTGGTGAGTGAGTTACTGTACCTTCTATGGGTGACATTGAGCCAGCTCGGCGTTTTGAGGCAGTAAGCACCTCCTAAACGTGTCGAGCTAGGAAGCAACGGCAACCTTTATACCCATATTGGCCTGTTTACAGCGTAGGGGCTGTCTGTATGCCGGTCATTTGGTCCCTGATCAATCCGGAGCTTCGCGGAAAGGCAAGC